GCTTTCCTCATCTATAAGAAAAGATAGTCCTCCAGAGAGTTGGCATGGAGAGAAAATGAAAGAGTAAATATGAAGGAGATAGCATTGTGCCTGCGCAAAGGAAGCAGTTACTAAACATCAGCTATTATTGTTATAGGACGTGGCCTGCATACGGTACTCACTGGCTTATCATAAATACAACTTCCACAGCCTCCAGTGTAGGATCTACACCACTTACTGACTGCCACTGATGATTGGTCCCCCCTGGTGACTGACAGTAATCCAGTGCAATCAGAGGCATTGGGAGAAAATAAAGAGCTGACTTATAAGGTGGAAAAATTAGGACTCTACGAATGCATGATTATATTCAGATTCATCCACTGATTAGTTAAAAAAAAAAAAAAGCTTTTTCTCTTCAAAACTCATCTAATGATCATGGTAGTACATGAAAAGAAGCTATTTTCAGTGATATGCAAACAACGGTCTTGTCCTAAGGATGGCATCATCTCTGAGTTTGGGAATGAGCCTCAAATGCTGAAATTAAAGGACCTCCATTTTAGGATAGCCCAACCTGCTACTACTGTCCAGAGCCTAGCAGTCTATACTATAAACTTTAAATTTATAATTATACAGTATTTTTTAAATTCAGAAGAATTTCTTTCATATAACTTTACATTCTGAAACTCCTTTCATGACTGCTTTCTCAGTAGAAAAGATTCTCACAGTCATAAAAACACAGGATAGTACGGGTAATTTGAAATCTAATAATCATTAGTTAAATATCTTCAGTTTATAAATGAATCAACAGCCCCCAAAAGGTTCAGTGACTTGCTCAAGGCTACGTAACTTGTCATCTTCAGAGGCTAGACTAGAACTAGGATTTGATGATTCTAAGAGTTCTGTAAATTTTTCTAATATCACATCTATCCACTGAATACAATGAGTTTCCTGTAGAATGAAACTATGTCTAAAGTCAACATGCAAGCAGCATATGCATTAGTAGGCTTCAACAATGTTTTCTATAATTATTAATATGTAGCATCCTTCAGAAGAGGAGTGCGGGTAGTGCTGCCGGATAAGCACTGGACTGCTATCCACATGTCAGCAGTTCAAACCCACCATTCACTCCATGGGAAAAAGATGAGGTTTTCTGCTCCTGTAAAATGTACAGCTTTGGAAACCCTATACAGGGTTGCTATGAGTCACAATTGACTCGATGATACCTAACAACAACAACAACAACAACAACAACATCTTTCACATAGCATACAGGCAGGATTATAAATTCTGGTTTATGAAATGTAAGGCTCAAACTATGCCTTTACTTACAAATAAGACAAAAAGAAGTAACCTGTAGCCTAAGATGCTATAGAGAATGCCGTACTGGGGGTCAGGAGACTCATGTGACTCTGGGCATTCTCTAACTTGTCTGAGTCTCTGCTTACTCATCTGTTGAAGATGAAAGCAAGAAGTAGATTTCTTGGATCAGTTCTGAATTGAAGACTGCATTTTAAAATAGTTTTATTAAGAGAAATCGCAAACAAAAATAGAGAGAATAGCATGATAAATCATTATACATTGATTGGTACCCAAATTTAACAATAAGCAAGATTCTTGCCACATTTTTTTCATGTAATACCCTCCTTTGCATTTTTGCTAAAGTACTTTAAAGCAAATCTCAGAGCGCCTACCATTTAGTCTCTACATATTTCAATATTCATCTATACATTATATGTATATAACTTCAAAGTCATTATTGTATGAATAAAATTAACAACAATCTTTTATACAATCTGAAGCCCATTCCCTATTAAACATTTTTCCAATTTCCCCCAAAATATCCTTTTTATAGTTGGTTTATTTAAAATCAGGATTCTCAGTCAATTTTTTTATTTAAGGACACACAACCCAAAATTCTAGCAGAGTTTTAAGATCGAAGCAAAGAACCATATTGTGATCATGACTAGTGAATCTATCTTCATTCTAAATTCAATGCAGAAACACTCCAGTGCTATGAATATTCCCATCAGTGTCAGAGTGTGGCTGTCAGATGGTTATTGACTGAAAGCCAGCAGTTGTTGGTAAAAATTATGTCTATGCAGTACACATCAAGTGGCTAGTGCCAATGAATGAGAAGTAAAAATTAGCACTACATTGATGGTAACCAGCCAAGATACAATGTAGATAAAGACAGGAGGCAAGATACAATTGGATTTGCCAGGCAGGAATGGTCTGATGGGATGAGTAGAATACCTAAACTGGAATGTCAATAAAGATAAAAGCCAATGCCAAGTTCTGACATTTGTACATCAAGGTGCGTTGCTGATGAAACATTAAAGGACACTGGGATACAGTCACTGTCTCTTTATCTATAGATTGGCAAGTACAGTTAGGAGCATTTTTCCTTTGATCGTTTGGTCTGTAATTAATCTATGCTTACTCCAGGAGGCAGTAAGTACCTTAATTCTTGAGGTTACTTAGGTCTAGAACTTCAAGATGTAGTATATAAATGGGTATTTGAACTAAAAAGAATATATTTTTCAGTGCTTCTTTACAAAAATAATTAAGAAAAAATCAGCCCCATCGTAAATACTGTTGTACAATAATTGGTAATAGAAGTAAATTATCACTAGTCCTCAGGACTCTTAGTCTGTTCTCCTTTTTTTTCACAGTTTCAAAGGGTGAAATCTTCAGCTCTCTCAAATATCTGCTTCAATGTCAAGAGTTCAGCCTTCAGGATTATCCTTGGCTTTCTAGCTTCCTTGACTATCTAAACCCCTGAATCTCCTAGTCTCTTCTGGTGTTCAGTTGTCATTTGAGTATTACTGTCATTTGAGTATGTTGTTTTTTTTCTGTAATCATTCACAAAATAAGACATAATATTCTCCTTTATCTTATTCTGCATGTATTCTAAGAAGTTCCAGAAGTATTTACTGAAGTAAATACTTAAAAAAAATAGTTAAAGCATGTGAGAAATACAAAGATAACTATGATCTTCAGAAGTTCTGTGCTAATAAGACCAACTGCATAAAACTGTAATGCAAGGTGAAATGTGCTAAGTGCTTTAAAAATACACAAAATATATTCGTGAGATCAGGATAGTCTTCTTAGAGGAGACTGTATTTAAATGTGGGAGTGACACATTAGCAATTATATTAGAAAAGCTACTTAGGTAGCAAGTTAATTGAATGAAGAAAAGATCAAAGGCAGGAAAACAGTAAGGAGGCACTGTGAAAGTCCCTGTAAGAGTCATTAAGGGCTAGAATTAGACAAGAGTGCTGTTAATGAAGAGGCAGGATACAGATAACACATTATGGGGGCAGGAGAGGAAGGACAGGGGAGCAAGATAAAAAGCTTTGAGTCTGCTTGACTAGGACACTGTGTTTTGGTGTAAAGCGATTTGATAAGCTTCTTTATCAAAGTGCTGCAGAGTCAGTTCCAGTCTTGAAGAATGCTTATATTAAAAAAAAAAGGAAGAGAATTCAGAAGAAATGGAGAAAGAAGCAGATACGACTGAAAGAGAATCCGGAAAATACACTGTCACAGAGGCTTAGAGAAGATAGCATTTCAGAAAGATAAAGAAGAGGAGTTGGCAGGACAGACAGGTAATGAAGAGAGGTCAAAGAGAATGGACAGAGAGAACAACAATGACTTTTCAGTTGAGAATTTCTCAAACATAGGGAGTCCTGGTGTGGCACTGTGGGTTAATACACTGGACTGCAAAGTCTGTTTGAACTATAGGATGGTGGTTCAAGCTCACTCCTCAGAAACCCTAAACAGGGTCATTATGAGTTGGAACCGACTCAACGGCACTTAACAACAACAGCCCAAACACAGATTTTAGGATAGTGATGAGGATGGAAAGCATTAAGTATGAGCCTAAAGAAACGGAGGCAGTGAAGACAGTCTCTAGGCCAAGGAGAAGAACTTCAGAAAAAAGAGGGTTGGAAAATAATAAATGAGGCTATAACTAATGAGGCTATAACACTTCTGAAAGAAGTGACAAGATCAAGAGTTTGGTTCCAGAAAGGAGTGACATGCTTCTTCTGAGAGAGTTGCCTAAAGACAGACATTCCATTAGCTAACCAAATTCCTGGTCCCAGTCAATCAAGACTCCCTCTAGCTTGTGTAGCCACAGCCAAAAGAAGATCTAATTTGTAAAATATAAGTGTGTCCTAGGTAATATATAAAGTTTTTAATAGCTATAATATTTCATTGTTGTTGTTGTTGTTATGTGCTGTGGAGTTGGTTCTGACTCATAGTGACCCTGTACAGGGTTTCTGAGGCTGTAAATCTTTACGGAAGCAGAAAGCCTCATCTTCTCCTGTGGAACAGTTAGTAGTTTTGAACTGCTGTCCCTGAGGTTAGCAGCCCAATTCGTAACCACTATGCTACATGGTTCTAAATCAATATTGCATGTTACCTTTACTCATTTCTTTTGATTCAAGGTATTTCTGACCAGTATCTAAACTTGAGATATTTTAACCTGGCAGAAAAGATGTGAGATGAACAATAGTATAGGCTTTTTTTTGCCTTTGTTGCTTATAGTTTTTTTTTTTTTTTTTAATGTTTTATTATGAATTATGTGATCGTTTACATGGGAGAACATTAGTTTTACATTCATCTTATCGTATATCGTTTCATTGCCA